TTGTCTAGCGGGGTTACGGAGCTAGCTGTGCTTGCCGCAGGCCGGCCGTGTAGATACCTTCCAGGTTGCCTCCTCTCGGTTACTGACAGCTCCACGTACGTGAAGGACAAACTGTTTACTGCTTTGTGACCAATCTGATCAAGGCACCAACTTCATCAGGATATTCACTAATTTTGCCTGTATACACGCCTCGCCCTAGTCCAATCTGAAGGCTTAATTCTAGGTTACTTTTGATATTGAGGTGTGGGATATGCGCCAGATAGCTTGGAGAGACAAGGTATTCTAGTGAGTGTTACTTGTCAATGGATTTTTGATCGGGAAAAAAAGAAACACATGAACCCGTGGATGCCTCCTCTTTCTCTTCTCCATCTTTACCTTGTTCTCCTTACCGCCCGGTGAGCTCTTTGTCTCAGCGGGACCTCACTCGATCTTCGGCACCGACTTCAATAAGTACATTTGAGTAACTGGTTCAATGGTACGGAGGATAATGACTGGGCCTCGATTCGAATCGTCGACGACTCGAACCCTGCCCATGTTACATTAGAAATTTCCACGGGTGCTGTCATAGCGGGGGGGGGGGGGGTCAATGTTTACTACTTACATAGTGCAGAACATTGGGAACATGTTGGATGGGACCCCTCGAGTCGTGGCGCAATTTACTGAGTCGGCCACAACCGTGAGCAGAACGGCGCCGAAGCTCCCCAGTGTCTGAAATGCTCGTCCGTCTGTGATCCACCCGGGTCCGAGTCCGGAACCATTCCGGAATCACCAAAATTGCCGTCCATACCTTCAGCTCCTTGGTGATAGTGTTACCTCTCCTGTCCGTTGTTGAAACCTTCTCGGAGGTTGTTGTCCCACACCAAGTGAGATGGTGTAGTATCTTAGTCAGCAGCACAAGTACAGGATTGCGGCACCCGCGCCTCGTGCGCTTGTCGTCGAGAGCCCACGTGTGACGCTGAAGGTGCACTGCGTCAGCACCGCATCGCCGGGTTGCCGGCTATCCTCCTTGGCCCCGGATTTTTGTTTTTATTTCTGTGTATTCCTATCGCCCTCGCCCATCCCGCTTCACCGCGCGAGGGGAAGGATCTGTCGTCGCCCGGATAGGCTGCGCATCGCGATCGTTGCGCGCGTGCGATATACACTTCGTATTACCTTGGTACTGTCTCTGGGACGAAAAAGAACCCTTGCTTCCTGTCGTGCCCTGAATGGTGGGACCTTTCTTAACCAACCATGGCGTCTGACGATGAATCGATCCGGCCTTTGCTGTGGTCCTTCTCCGGGTTCCGCGAGAACAGACGGCCGGCGCCGATCAGGCGACAGCTGAGCCAGTCACGGACGAGCCTTCAGGACGTACTCTCGTCTCGGAAGAAACACTATGCCGTGTTGGCCCTCGTATCCCTCGACGTCGCTGCGCTTATGGCCAACATCTTTGTCGAGCTCGTCGCCTGCGATATGAAGCGGGAAGACGAGCCGTGGGTCAAGAACACGCGCGAGGGTCTCACCGTTGCCGGCCTCGTGTTCAGCTCTCTATTCTTGATCGAACTCCTATTGTGTGTCATTGCGTTTGGATGGAGGTGAGATAAATTCCCGAACCACATCTTTGATTAAGCGTAAATTCTAACTCAAGTCGTGGTCAGGTACTTTGCAGAGTGGTTCCATTTGCTAGATGGCATAGTCATCGTGGCAAGCTTTGTTATCGACGTGCTCTCGCACGGCATCGTGGAAGAGATTGCTTCCCTCGTCATTGTATTCCGTCTCTTCAGATTCGTCAAAGTGGTCGAGGAGATGAGTATGGGAGCCGCGGAGAGGATGGAGGGGCTTGAGGAGCAGCTGGCGATTCTGAGGCGGGAGAATGGAGAGATGAAGAGGCAATTGACACGGCGATGATCTGGAGGCTGGAGGGTATGTTTCTGGTATTCTGGCATTACGGCATCGGTAGCATCGGTAGCATCGGTGGCAGCGCTTTCATGTGATGATCGATACCCTTTGGGAATGGACTAATGATAATGAACGATCAGGCACACAAGGAGAGCGTTCGCGAGTAGGCCGAAGGTGTTCTTGCCTCTCTGAACTGGCCAGCTTTTCCTTGACTGAATAAGATCTTCCTTTGTCAAGATGACGCTACTGCAACCCAAAAGTCGTGGAGTAGTATGCAAAACACACTGCTGATCTATATACTTCAAACGCCTCGACCCTAAGCATGCTCAATCACACTGCCACGAAGCCGCCGATGGCTTTTGCTAGAGTTAACAAGAGCTTGTTTGACGGGTCCGGGGTAGCTGCCAGTCAGTTGTTGCTTGACCAACCACGGACTAGTAAGCAACTTTGATCGGCTTGGGCTTCTGATCAACGTTTCGATCTATGGATCGAGGTTGGACCGTTGGGCAATGGTGGTGTCGGCCGGACTTTCGGGGGCAGATGCGGTGGGAATGTGGTACGTTGCCGGCAGAGAACCTCCGCGATGCAACACCAGCCGCCCCGGCTGCTACTGCACCTCGTATTGCTGCTCTTACTGCAGATACCATGCAGCTGCCAGCGACGAGGCAGCCATTGGGCTGTGCGAGACAACTTCTATGATGTTCGCCTCCTCGATGTCTCGCCACGCTCCATACTTAAGGTGCATCAGCGGATACCCCGTACACAAGAACGAGAATAGCATCAGGCAAACACGCCAATATAGCGCCAGTGGGCGAAAGACATTGAATACGAAAAGGGCGAGATCGTTAAGAAAAAAAAAAGTGGCTTCATTCGCCCCCATTCGATAACTGAGGGAAGGTGGATAGTAGCATCAACAGGTATATGCCAGTAAGATGCTTACAGTCATGAATAACGGCAAAGGACCAACGAACTTGGAAGTGCAACACAAAAACACAACACGGACGCGACAGCAGGGAGCGAGACCCATTGAGACTCGAGCCAAAAACAAAGAAGCGGCCAGTCAAAGAGCTACGCTTGCCGTACCTTGGAGACGGGAAATAAGCATATCAAAATCTCGACCCTAGAGCCAAGGTACCAGCAAACGGGCAGCCGCTACATATGCAACAAAAAGAGGTCAAAGCCTCTGCAGGAGAAACAACAGACGACGTGTTTAGATCAGATGCCTCGAGACCGGCTGCAGTCAGCCGCACTTCTCATGGCCTTTTCTTTGTCTTGGGAAGTTGAATGGGATTCTTCGCCACGAGAGTGAGATCTACGAATACGGATCATTACTTTGTTCCAACACGCAGCTTGCAAAGCAATGTGTACGTACGGATACTATCCACAGGGAAACGGTACTTGCGGTTTTGGTGCAACGCATCCTTCGAGGTTCCGACGCCCTACCCTTGCTTCCTCGCGGCAGAAGGGGGCCAAGGGGGTAGCGTGAACAGTGAAGTCCAGGAAAGAAAAACAATGACCCCAGAAAGAGGGAGCATTGTCCAATCAACAGCCCGTCAAATCGACAGCCCCCTTGTTCATGAACAAGATTAGACTTCATCTCGACGTCCGGACCCCTTGTTCGCGCCGCCGTCGTTCGAACCTCGCTCCGTTTGTCTTGTTCCCGTTTTTCCTTCAACCGATCGTACCACCCTCCTTCTTCGGCAACCACCGCACAATATATTGGAAAGAAGCACAGCTGCCGAACCAGAACACGGCAAGGCAATATATTCTGCATCCTGGTCAGCCACCGAGGGAGCACGGCACGGCAACTAGCAGTCGAACCAGGCCCCTCGAGTGAGACTTGGATTTCTGCTGCCCAAAGAGAAAGGAAGGGGGATTTCGCAGAGGAGAAGACCAGCTAGGTACGGATAGTTCCAGCCTCTTCAGCCCTGATGGCCCTAGATCGCGGTCGTTTCTTCACCAACAATTTCGAAGCATTCCTCAAAACCGTCTCAAAGGAAATCTCCATCCTTCAGAAACGCCCACGGCCTCAAACTAGAAGGCTGGAGAAACACACAAGGCGCGCGTGCACAGCATTTTCTACACCATACAAACGGTTGCCCCCTTCTCTTCCGTCCCTGCTTGATGCTAGCAATGAGGACGGGGATTGGGGTTGGGTAGCTTCTACAGCCGAAAGTGGGAAGATTTGGGCGGGGATTGGCAGGGACACCAGGGTCACAGGGACCTTTCTCAAAGTGAGCACCGAGAAGTCTCCTCCTCCTCCTCTTCCTCCTCCTGATCCTCTCTGTCTCTCTCTTGCAGCCCAGGGCTTGACGCCATCACCATGTTCCCAGTGTCGGTCCCCAATATCTTTGCTGCTGGCGCCTGATGCAAAGGGCGGATATTGTTTCCTTTTCTCCTCCCCCTCTCTACTTTCCCACTGCCGCTGCTACCTCACTGTCACGCACATATCGGATACGCAGAGGAATACGGGGGCCCTAGCAAAGTAGCCTCATCAATCTCCATAAGTCAAGCAAGAATCCCCGAACCACCAAACCCCTGGAGGTGCGGCTTGATGGCCCGCTCCCCCCTTCCTCCTGTGTGGTCCTCCACTTTGTTGGCTCCTCTGCCTGGAGAAGGAGAGAGAAAATGCCTGATCGGCCTATCACATATTCGAATTCGCTAGCGTCGCGCGCCACTGCTTTTGCCCTCCTCGGCCTAGTCGAGGGGGTGCGTGGAGTTGCTTCTCCTCGATCCTGATGCTCGTTCACTCTCCCACCCCCAGCCAACGGGTGCTCCCCCCAAGAGGATCATAAAAGTCCGGATACAACGTTTTGTGATGAAATTGCTGCCGTTCCCTAATTTGCTTAATATACTCCATCTGCCACCTTTCGTTCACTTTTCTTGTTTTCTTTTCCCTCCTCCTCCCCTTTCGTAATAAGCCTCCGCCAACCCACTGTTCATCAAAAACAGCTTATTCCATCTTCGACAAACCTAATTCCTCTCGGTTCGTCCAGTCATTCGCTACAGTCTTCAAGACTCTATACATTCGTTGGAACCACCATACAACCGTCGTTCTCGACAACCTCAAATACAAACACCGTAATAATCGACTTTACCGTCAACCCTCCCACACACTCAAAATGAAGTTCTTCTACCCTCTCGCTCTGGCCCTCGCCGCCGTCGTTGCCGCTGCCGATGATGACTGCGACGCCGCTCCCATCGTCGAGGCCTGCCTCACCAGCGAGAACGCAAAGGTAAACTTCCCAAAGACTATCTCTGCCCACCTATACTACGGTACTGACAAGACATGTTCTCCAGGTCAAGGACTGCAGCTCCACCGACTACGACTGCCTCTGCGCCGCCTACCAGGCCGTTGCCACCTGCTACAACAACTGCCCCAAGGACTCCCGCGCCTCGCCCGCCCAGAACCAGGTGACCATCTTCTGCCAGCAGGCCTCCCTCTACGGCTCCGCAGCCATGCGCAAGACCCAGTCCGTCGTCTCGGCCACCGGCTCCGCCACCGGTGCCGTTGCCTCCGCTTCGGCCTCTGCCACCGCCGCCACGGGCACCAGCGCCTCTGGCAGCTCCGCTTCCTCCACTGCCTCGGCTAGCTCCAGCTCCAGCACCGCCAACATGGGTGTCGGCCAGCTCGCCCGCAACACCGGCGGCGTTCTCCTCGCTGTTGCTGGTGTCGTTGCCGCTGTCCTCTAAACGAATGAAAAATCTTTTCAAGATAACGCACATAATCTTCCTCCTAAACCACCTTAGGGAAGGGGGGAACCAAGATACCAAACATCATGTCATTTAAAGCGATTATGTTTACGGTGCTCAAGAGATTTTCGGCATGTTCTTTTTTACGCAAAGACTACAGGACAGGACCTGATTTGACGGAGCATATGGCACCCAAGCGAGAATTCGGGCCAAGGAAAGGGGGGAACGGCGAAAGAAAAACAACCACTTTTGTATATGCTTAATCTTTGTAATTACCTAATTCCAGCCAAGCTTCATGAAGTTCACTTTTCATGGACGAGAGAGAAACAGGTCGACAAGCAAGAAAGAGAGACAGCATGTGCTAAATGAGTCGATTGATGATATCTGTGACTTCCCCTTGAACGTGTGTGCTTCTCAGTCTTCCGTTGCCTGGAGGAAACTGCCATACGGATTGTCCATCTCGTTGATCATGCAGTAGCTCATGTTCCACAGCATTGCAAGAAGAAATACAGCCAGTAGGTTTATTCACAAACTAATTTCGGAGTACATTGCATCTAGCAAGGCAATAACAACAGGAGACCGAAACGAAACAAAGTATTACAGAAACCGGGGGTTGACTCAGCGACACTACTCCGTAACAATCCTACGCCCCTCCAAAATCTCATGTGTTTTGAAACATTTCCGAACCTACCTGAACACCTTACATTAGCGGCCGGGCCAACAACAACACTACATGCATTCCCCAGCTCTTTGCGCGCATGTATCCGCAATGCATGCTTTTTGGCTGTTGTTTTCATTTGCTCCAGAGCGAGGAACGTATCTGCTTAGATGCCTCCGAGTGTCTCATACTCGTCAGTCCCGACTTTCCCATTGCTAACCCCGTGGAACCCCGAGTACATACATGCAGGGTATATGTCTCTCTCTGCTAAGAGTCTAAGCCATGTCACAGATATATAGAAACGACAAGAATTTGGTCAATAAACAACATTGCGGGTAGGGCGAAAATCCGCACGGCGTAAACTAGATTACGGATAATCGCGCCGTCAATCTCGAGCCCCGAACCTAGCATGCAGACCTACTCTTACGGCAATTCTCCGGTCCATGTTGCCTGCCACCTATGATCTCCCTTTCTCGGCGCAATGTGCGCGAGTTTCGTCGGTTTGAAGTCGGTGGAGTATATCCATCTCGCCGATGATCGTCATCAAGAAGCCTGACCCCTCCTTCAAGCAATATCAGCCAAGTGTGAATCTCGGCGCCATGAATTTCTTCTCTGGAGACGGCGAGGTATCAACATCGCCAAGGTCACGTGTAGATCATGTAGACAATTCAAAATTGGTTGCTCAATATGAGCTCGTTATCGTCATTGTTTTCATCAAGCCTTCTTCTCCAACCGCTATGATACAACACGAGTGTCCTCGAATCCTACAGCTGGCTCATCAGCTTTGTGTCCCTCCTTCGGGAGACCATCTCCCTCTTTTTCGCGTATCATCGCGGGCCTCAGTTCCCTACCTCCAGGAGAACTTTTGTCCAGAGCAGTGAAGTTGTAACAGTATAAAGTCTACAAGCAAAAAAAAAAGAAAAAAAAAGCAAGAAAAAACAGTACGCAAAAGGCAGACGCTTCCCAACAACCGTGACGCCCGGTTCATATCTCTAACAAGTGACGTTATCATCTCCGGCCACACACACCACCGCAGCCTGCTTTTTTTGCCTGTCCTATTTGACCCCTGGTTGCGCAGAGTCGTATGAATAAAGAGGATAATAATAAGAGGGGAAAGAACTTTCGTCGACTAAAATTGAGTATGCGCAAAAAAAGGTCTTGGTCGCCGAAGAAAGCAGTAAAAGGGGGGTTTGGCGGCAAGTTGAGTGTTGCCTCGAGAAGAGATCTTGTTGCAAAGAAACAGGAGAGCATTTATCAGACTCTGGAGAGTACTGAAAACGCTCTAAACTTTTCGGGCTCGCTTCGCGCTGTCGTGGACAGGGCTAACGAAAGTGACGTGCTTGTTCTCATCTTTCTTGAGACGCATCGCAGTGCCGGAGCCGACCCCGCTAGACTCCCGGTGATGACCAAGAGGGCGTCCATCGTGATCCTCGTCAAGTGTGATTTCAGCAACGTCGGACACCGACTCGGCGTCCATGCGGTCGCTCACACCTGATTCAGACGACCCATCGTCGGAGTCATCATATTCGCCATCGTCACTGACAAGTGAAGGTGCATTGTTGCTGACCATCGTGCTGGGGCTGAGGTCAACGTCCTCCATGTCGACATCATCACCAGAGTGAATCAAGACCCTGGTGGGTCCGTCGTCCTTCTCGGGACTGCTCATGGGCGGCGAAGCGAAGCCTGTGGGAGGTGACCTCCCCTTGCTGCTTGTTGGTCTTGTTGACGATGTCAGAGCGACGGGTGACATTGGTGCTCTCGCAGGCATGCGCATGGCAGGCATACGAGGAGCCGATCCAGCATTGCTCTTCGGGCTGCCGAGACCAGTCTCGGTGTCTTCAGATTCCTCTCCCGGCGAGGTGAGGTCTTCCAGCGACATCTTCTCCTTGGCGTCACTGACAATATCACTGAGGTTGCCGGTGAAGTTTCTGCTCTGCATGAGTCGCGAAAGGAAGGGGGTGTCAGCCGAGGCGACGAAGTTTGCAGCCTTTGGTGCAGCGGACCTCGCAGGCTCTGCCTTTGAAGGACCTTGAGGGATGCCTGTAACGCCAGGCAGCTTGCCATCACGATACAACTTGAGGGAATCTGCGATCCTAGAACGCAAAGCAACGTACGCCTGTTGGGTGGACACGTCGGCCTGAGCAAAGGGATGTACGAGACCAGACGCGATGGCGGTTGAGGGAGGAGGAGGAGGAGGAGCAGCTTTTTCCTCTCCAACAAGACTGCCGCCTTCATTAACCTCAATGGGGTGACCGCAATGAACGGCCGCCTCTTCGTGGCTCTTGAAGTCTCGCCTATGGGCGATGCGGCAGTGATTGATGAAGCCTTGAGTGCTGCTGAAGTTCTCCCGGTTGCAATCCAGGCAGACGAGCTTCACAGTCTGGCCATCGGAGCGCTTGAGAACACAGGGTCCGGCCTTCTCCTTCGGTTGAGGGTAACCACTGGAGAGAGACTGCAGCTTCTGGCTACCAATGCCCCGAGTCGAGCGGTTCTTGTTTGCGCTGGCGAGATCAGACATGCTGTTCCTTGTCGTTCGTCCCTCAACCGAGCTTCTGCTACGGGCAGTCTCGAGCACAGGGTACCACTCAGGTTGCATGCCATCAAACTTGGGATCGGGAATGAGCCACTTGGCATAGTGTCGAGCGTAAGGCCCATCGACAACTCCAAAAGGCGCAGCCCATTGGGGAGCAGGCTCTCCCGGACGAGTTTGCAGAGCTGGGCCCTTTCCGTTGCTGATATCAACCATCTGCGCAGGGGTGGGACAGGCAGTGGGATACGGAATGAGATGGCAGCGACGGAGTTGCTCGAGAGCGACCTGACATTTCGCCAGTTCTTGGTTGATTAGCCTCAGCTCGTTGTGTTTGAGCAAGATCTCAAGACCAAATTGATACTGGATAGCGTCGCGCGCGTCCTCCATGTCGTTAGTCACTGCTGGAACAGCGGCGGGCACAGGCACAGGCAAAGACGCGGATGCTGGTGCGTCAGAGACGACACTGGAAGGGATGTCAGAGACGGTGAGATTGGTGCTCTCCAGCTTGGCCCGCTTCAAGGGCTGCTCAGTGGCGGTGAGTGCATCTGGTGAAGGTGAGTCGTCAACGCTTGACAGACGCCTCTTTTGAGGGCACGATGGACCCGCCAGTGATGCCGTTTGCGCAGGTTGCGGCAGAATGAACTGATGCTTTTGCGCGAATGAAGGCATGGGTTGAATGTGACTGATGGTCGTTTCGCTTCCCCGCTCGCTGCTCCAGAGTGATCGGAACATAAGCGCGGTTCACTGAGAGCAGTGAAGGTGATGGGATGAAAGGTCGCGTTGAGGGCGGCCTGACGACTTTATGTGGACGTGGGATGAGGCGCAAGGCAACAGCCTGACGAAGGTGCAATGTGCAGTGGCGGACGGACCAGGCACCTGCAGCGTGCGACGTGGTGCTGATGCAGGCAGAGGAGCCGAAAAGCTGAGGTGCTTACAATGAGCTTCGAGCTGGCGACGGGGGGCTGACGTAAACAGTGGATTCCCCAGACAGACAGACAAGTCGGGTGTAAGCGTGTGGCTGCTCTGGGCGTGGGCGAAGACGAGGCGACGGGTGTGCGGTGCGTTGGTTGGACTTGGATGATGGGGCCCGAAAAGGGGTGGCAGGGGGGGCGAGTGGTGCGTGATGATGTGGTCGGGCGTCCGCTCAGGAAGGCCAGAGGCAAGAGAGAGAGCCGGAGACCGAAGCAGGCGAGTCGGCGACAAAGGGATGGGATTGCGACGGTCGCGCAGCGAAGACAGCGAGGCAGAATAACCGAGAACTAACGAAAGCCTCGATATCGCGCAAGAAAATGGTGCGAAAATGAATGCGCGAAGAGAGTTGGGCGAGCAAGATAAAAGAAGCGACGCCGATGATGGTTCTCTATGTCGTGTGGACGAGTGGTTTTGGAGCGGTTTTGGGGGGAGAAAGAGGTTGTTTGTGAGGAGGTTGAAATGTTGGAGATGGGGATGACAGCGGAAAGAGCGAGAATAACTGTCAGAGGTCGGGGAAGGAGGCAGCTTCAGACCTCTCAGGCGGGCGACGTGCGTGAGCTTGGTGGGAAATTGGCCTCTGGGGTGGTGATTGCGAGTGCGGGTGGGCCTTGGATCCTGGGGGCCAGAGAGAGAGAGAGGTATCCGTAGGGTAGGTAAGGTGAGTGAGTACCTAGCAAAAGCAGCCGGGCAGCGAAAAGGTGCCGGTAGATTGTGTGAAAAGGGGATGGGCCGTGAATTGGGCGAATTGGAAGTGTTCCTCTGCGGGTGGTTCTGTTTCTCGTTCGCTGATTGTTGATGGCGCAGCGGCGGTGCAAGCAAGTAGTAGGTAGCAGTAGCAGTATCCGTAGCAGCAATAGTGACAACAAGAGACTGACTGGACTGAGTGAGAATGGTGTATGGGGCGAGGTGGATGCACAGTTGGAAAGCTGAAGTAGATTGTTTTGGCGCTTTGCGCTTGTGCTTTGTTGGTGTTGGAACTTGGCGATGATGCGAGGGACCCGACTGACTAGGAAAAGGCAATTTGTGTATTGAATGCAAGGGGGGGGGGGGGGGGGGGGGAGGCATAAGATGGGGTGTGGAAGGAACGAGGGATGGGTGTGAGGTACGTACAAGGTGTGTGGGTGGTGTGGATGAGGATTGTGCCCCGAAACGCGATGCTGATTGGTTTGTTTTTTAGAAAGAAGGAGGGAACGAGGGAATGCGCTTGTTTGGTGAGTTTGGTGACTGGCTGGTCTGACCCGAGATGTGGGGGCAACTGAAGAGGAAGGGACAGACAGACAACTGGCTGCCAGGGAAGGGACAAGAAAAAAAGAATGGAAGGCGAAGGGAACCTCAAGGAAGGAGGTGTGCAGATGCAGGGATGTTGTGCAATACGACGGAGAGACTGAGCAGGGAAGGAACGGAGTTGCCCTTTCCCAATGGAAGGTCTGCTTCAAGGTTCCTTCCTCACCCAATACTTGGTACGAAGTACCTTTCTGAGGTGGTGTTGTGTGCGCTGTGAGGTGGTAAGACTCAGGAGAGCAAGACCCAATCTTCGACACAACTTAAACGACACCCGGACGGTTCGGCCGTCAGAAGGGGATGCAGCAAGAGTCAGTCATACTGTTCTACTGTCCTGCAAAGTAGTATTCTCTCACGTCTCTCTGTCAGCCCAAGGTAACTCCTGAGATGTGTGTGTGTGTGTGTGCCAGATGCAAGTCCTGACGCAGACGATGATAAAAACGGGCGACCAACAAGAGACAGCGGCAGGAGCAGCGGCAGCGGCAGCGGCATGCGCACTGAACTCCAAAGCTGTCAAAGAAGACGAGGACAGACTGGTGAGAGAACGATGCGCTCAGAGGATAATGCTGTCCGAGTACCTGATAGTAGTTGAGAGATGGGACGTCAGTTCCTTCCAAGTCCCCGTCTTCGTCTGTGTCTGCGTTTGGCCTCGTCTTCCACCTTTTTTCCAGAATCCAGAGAATTCAGCCAGCGTGCCAACTCCCGTATTCTGTATGGCCGATGGAAATCTGATGGGACGATGAGACGGACGGGGGGCCCTTCCGAACTTCTGTCTCTTACAACTGGTAGGCAGTAGCCGGGTTCTTTCTGGCGGCGCTGCAATGCGTGTTTCGCCCACCCCGAAAATAGAACGGGATTGATAAAGGTGGGCGCGTCCAACTGGCAACGACAGCACTTCGTACTGCCGGGTAAACAAGGTCAGGGCACAGCAGCAGCTATTGTGGAGGTTCATTAAAGGGATCCCCCTTTTTCGCGATAATCAAGAGTCTGACAGGCGGTATAGCTTATTACTGGAGACAGGACAATCAAGAGGGTGAAGGTATTGCCGATGCAACTTCGTATGGGAAGCGCAGTCTCAGGGCTGTCCATCATCACTGGCCGGTCGCTATCTATCTGGCCCAGGATCCAAATTGTCTCTCTTGCCGATCCAACTGGTTATCGTGTTTTGTTTGTAAAGGTTTCGACATGTGTCTTATCCAGCCCGCCTGCAGATGGATCCAGTAGGTACTTCGTGCATGGGCTAAGGTTCCTTAGTGAGGTGAAGAAGACGGGGAAAGCTCATGGCGTGTGTCCCGACTTGTTTTGGTTCCGTGCGAGAAACGCCTCAGCCATGTACCTTGGGGCGTGAGACGGCCGCTGCACGAGCTAAAAGTACCTGGAGGCGTGAGAATGTTCTTTATTCCGCCAAGACTTCGGGTTCGGGCCTCTTTTTCTTTTCCTCCCACTGCGCCAACCGCTGTGTGTCGGATGCCTCGACATACCAACATGCCTTTCTCTGGCCGACAAGTTCCTCAACCACGGCGCGGGGTTGGACATGATCTTGGAAGGCCAGAATGTTTGTTGACGAACGGGAAGAGGAACTCAAACTATGGCGCCTATTCAAATGAGTCAACTTCCGCCCCTCACTCTTTGATGAATGCGAACATTCGACGACGCATCTCATTTGTTCACCATCGTCGTTGTCGAGCACGCCGCCGCGCTCTCTTCCCCACGTACCTGACAGTAGTCTCGGATCTCATTCGTCTGCATCGTAGCTTCGCCATTCCGGCTGGCCTAAGAAGCTGCGCCTAGCGTCTACGAAGACGACGACGACTCCATTACGCCCCTTTCCAAATAGCATCGAGGATAAGGACTAGAACTTTATCAAGCCGCCCACAACGTGAAGCCGCAGGCGAGACCGCAACAACACAACGTGGGATGACAAGAGAATATGCACCCTGAGAAGCAAGGGAACGCCTTGCGCCCGTGTATCGCCTCTTCTGTCGTACCGCGTCCCTTCTTGTCTTCTTTTTGTCGCCTCATCATAGAACCCTTCATGCATCATCGAAGCACCTTGATTGCTCGTCGTCTTCTGGAGCCTCACATCCATGCATCTACTAGAGCCCTACTCTCTGGCCTCGACGACGGCCGGCGTGCCGGCTTCGCACGAGGACGGAGGAGGGATGGGTGGGTGCGACATGCAGATAGACATGGATCGCCGCTCAAAATACGCCACGCCACCCGGCGTTGCCCAGCTCGCCTTTAGCCCGTTCTGGTTTCAGATACCTGAGCATCGCTAGCGAGGTACCGGACAAGCCAGGATGTCCAGAATCTCACCAGCGATATTGCAACTGAGGAGCTGGAATAAGCCAATGAATCAGCGCTATCTTGCGACGATACCCAACGGTAACGATGCCGAGTCGCCCCGACTCAGCGGCCAAGGTCAGAACCGCATAAGTTCCTCTTTAACCCCGGGCCTCCCTGCCCTTTCACGGCATCTACGACACTTCTCCAGGCCTTATCCCGGTATTCAGAAGAGGGCTCCCTGGCGAAAATGTGTTAATACCACAATTACCACTGCAGGTCGTGCAGCTCGTCCAGAACGCTACCACGCTGCACCTCGGAAGCTTGGGAATCTTGGGGAGAACTATCGCAGGCCACTTTGGGAGCTGCTAGATGACGAAATGTCGCAAACCTCATGATTCAGTAAACCTACAAACCCTTCAGACTCGGCCTTCCATCCAAGATGCCAAGCAAGCTTGCTGCAGTCCGCCGGCATCTGACTGAAGATAGTCCAGGTGGACATGTCCTGATCATTCTGACATCCGCTTTGTTCAGGCCCACGAGAGACTGCAACCAGAACAGGACGCAACATGGCGCACTGCCATTCATCGAATCAAAAGAATGGCGTCCTCGCAGAGGAGCCCGGACAAGTCGCACAGGCCACGCCAAACATGTGAAGTCGAGAAGCCACGGAAAGACCATCGGCGCATGGGCGCCTTGTCCAGTGGACCCTTCCATCTTCCGCGGAACGCTAGTCCAGGTCCGGCTTTGCGCGAGAGCTCGTGTCCGACCATCGCGAGGAAACGTCGCTGCTTTTAGTATTGCAAAGGCTCCGCGCTTAGTCATAAGAGTATGTCAGATCCATCTCGAAAGCACGTTGCCCTGCTTCCAAAGTTCCGGGGCTTGAGAGGTCGTCGTGAGACTTTGGAATGGCTCCTGATGTGCCTTGCGCATCATACAATCGTTTCGAAAATGTAGAAAATTCTGATCATCATGCGTTATCTTACCCAAAAGGCACTTGGCGAAAAGTCGAGCATCAAAGAAGTCATCCAATCAGAGGAAGCTACGGGTCCTGCTGCCATCTTAACGTCGCAGCTCTGCGCCGGCTCTCGGCTCCGAAGGATGGTCCAAGCGTCTAATCCGATAAGATTGTAGAGATCCAAACCACACTTTTTTATCGGGTGCAATCTTAACGCGGTTGTCTTGGAGCTTCAATTTCAACCCCAGACTCAAACCCCGCGTGGCGCATCACACACCTCAAGTCACTGAGCCGCCGCCTCTGGCTATGATTCGAGGCCTCATCAAGGCTGACCATGGCTGAACCCTCCGCAATGCAGCCCCAGGGCGACAACAAGAAGCGAAAGTCATCGACGGCAGAAGTAGTTGAGTCGTCCGCCGCCGCCGTCTCGAAGAAGAAGAAGAGCAAAACCACCAAGACGACGCCGACAACAAGCGCAAGCACAAGTTCGAGCGCAAGTTTCAACGGCCCGACGACTCCTCTACCCCCCTCGCACGAAGCCCTCCTCGCGGACCTCAAATTGAAATACGACGTCCTCCCCGCCTTCACCATCTCCTCGACCAAGATCCAGAAGCGCGTAAGCTGGCTGCTGCAGCACCTGCGCAAAGACGACGGCGATCCGAGGAAGCGCGCCGTGCTCGTCTACGCGCGGCCGGACGAGGTCACCAAGATGATTTCGATTGTGGAGACTGTGAAGCGCATCGTGGCGGCGGCGGAGAAGAAGAGCGTGGATGAGAAGGAGGAAGGGAGCGGCAAGTGGTACCAGTACAACCTCATGTACGAGCTGCCGCCAAAACCTGACGTTGTGGAAGAGACGGTTCTGGGCGGCGGGACACGGGACGGTTCGGACGATGAAGACGATTTCGAGGTCATGGGGAGCCGCTTCGAGAGAGCCGTGTTGCCGCAACCTGCGAAGCGCGCGACCAAGTCGCTGAGCATCTTCCTTTCGTTGGAGCTCATGCCGGAACTCAAAGCTCGAGACGGGGTCACGACGCAGACGAACGCGGCGCCGGGCGCAAAGGCGAGCTCGACGGCGCTTTTAAGTTGAGAACTTGCGACGAGGCCGCTTGAGGGTGGAGGAGTTAGATCCGAAGGCGTGAGCTGTGGTTCCGGAGACGACGGCAGAAGCAGACTGACAAAAGAAACAAGAGGCTCTCGAGAAGGGGAGTTTGCGAGATGTCGCTGGTAACGCACCCAACAACGATACGGCGTGGCATTTTAGTACATTGCATCAAGAGGCGTTCATAGGAAAGGGTGGGCTACCATTTGATACCCAAAACGGGCGGGGCAAGGTCGATATTAAAAGCTTTCGACACGAGATGAATAGACAGCATCGGGAAGAGTATTAGAACCAACGAGGCACCCAATTCCTCATATGCTCAAAACATTCATATGAAACGTTTCCATCTGGTGATGACATACTAGTGAATAGCTTCCGTAGAAAGTGCGCAGCGTACGTGTTTTTGGTCTGTTTCCGACGCCTATTCCGATGCATTCGCTTTTCCTATCAACTGTACACCTTCAACATCCGCTTTCTGTTCGCGTACGCCTAAGCTAAACATAAGAAAACTGCTAAATTATAAAACCATGCAAACCTGTTCTCAAGACACCAAATCCTCCGCTTCCAACTACCAATCCTTCCTCGTACACACACAACTTTGTCGTGGCTTGAGCATTTCAGCAAAAAGGCCACCTTCCCGGGTTCGCTAGGCTCACACTGTCGACGCCTTGATATTTCTCCCATTTTTCGCCCCTCCTTCCTCCCAACTTTGTCCTCGGGCTTCCGAACAGGCACCAGGAGTAGAGTGCAACATGAAATCATACTCTTAGTGCTTTCCCTCCTTGGACGAGTACGTTATGCGCAGAACAAAGTTGACGACGACGGCCAGCAGCAGGATGATGGCCAAGAAGGTGGGACCGAAGCGGTCGTCGAAGCCGGCCTGGCCGCGGACGCGGATGGATTTCGCGCGCCAGTGATACGTAGCCAAGGCGTAGATCATGGTGAGCATGGCGACGCCGGTGAAGAGGAAGGCGCTGATGAAAGCCGGGCGGTCGCCAAAGTTGAGCATGCCGATGGCGAGGGCACCGAGGATGACGGTGAAGTTGAGCCAGGAGAGAAAGGTGCGCTCGTTGGCGAAGAAGACCTTGGGTTCGACCCGCGTAGGGAGAGCGATGCGCTTGCCTGGTTGTGTTTGACTTCGTTAGTGACCTCTCTCTCTATATTGATATGATGCTTGCTCGAGGTGGACGGTGGCGTTGTTGCACGTACCCGGAGCGGTCTGGAGAAGAGGTTGGCTAGACATGGTGATTTCCTATGTCTGACTGGACTGTCTCGAGGGTAGGTATCGTGGTTCGCGGTCGTGGGTTTCTGTATCGCAACTTGATTTGGTTCAGTCGACCGTCTTTCGTTGTCTTGCGCGGATGCCCAATTCCTACCCTTGTTCTGTGTGTATCAACAGCGATGCCTAGAATCCCTCAGGAGAACGGCAATGCGATGTTGGAGGATTGCAACTGAGGCGTCGTTGGAGAGCTCGGGCTCGCGTCGGGCTAGTCGTCAGAATCGCAACGGGGTTTATCGTGACAAGGGGGCGGCAAGTGGAAGCGAGTCGCGCGATATCAACTGCTTGCTCTTCAACAGTCTCGTTTTTTCGTCTGAACAATTGGCAAAAACTCTATCAGGGATATCAACAAAAAGAATGCGGAGATGGAGGTAAGGGAGAGGGAGAGAAAAGAGAAGAGGAGAAGAGAGAACGAGAGAATCTGTAACCGAGAGAACCCGCTTGAAAGCTTGTTCAGATACGACCACAGACGATGCACCTGCACTGCGGCCGACCAGCCCCTCGAAAGCCGCTTCCTTGAGAAAAAAGCTCCATCGTAAACCAGACTTGTGACGCTAGGCCTGCACGACGTGCACGGCTAGAGCTCCCTCCCCACCAGCCACAGTCGAGATCCATGTCAATTGCCTGCGAACTTCTGCAGCAAGGTACACGTGCAGTTCAATCGCATTATGATTGGGGAAGCCACATTTGGAGAGACCAAGCCTCAGTACCTTAGTACGGACTACGCAGATAACAGAAGCTGTGGCTGGAGTGAAGACATCAGCCAGGGCCACGTGATCTGTCGTTGCCCCGCGCACCTGGCTGGAGCACGGCCCGCCGATGCAACGCGAGACGGCCGAATCGGGCTGGCATCACAACACCGGTAACTTTTTGCGGAGGAGCCTCATCTCTGTCGTCTTGTCCCGATCTGTCAACACAACCTCTTCACCACTTACACACAATCGAGATACTCGCACAATCGCTCAAGAACACTCCAACACCTCCTAGTCCTAGACAACCTCTTATACAACGAGACTAGCAAGTGCATAAAGCCTTGGAACAATAAAACACCTCGCTCCCCTTTCCCCAAACAAAACATCCGATCACAATGTCTGCGCCCGCCGCCCCTACGACAGCGACTCCTGTATGTCGACTCCCCCACGCTAAGATCTCAATGGACCGCCTACTGACTCGATCTTGACAGCCCGTCGCCTTCAATCGCCTCAAGCAGATTGCTACGGATGTAAGCTGCCCATGCGACACCGTCTACAACGTCGCCAAAACAGCAGGAAACAGCCCGCTAACCCAGTCTCGTTGACAGGCTTGCCAATCAGCCATCGGCTCTGCTGAGTTCTACGATCACGCTAAGACCGAGACATGGAACTCTCAGATCATTGTATGTTCTCTCTCTCTCTCCCTCAACTTCAACCCCGCCCCCGGAGATCCAAGGACTAACCATCGCGAACCTCGTTAGTCCTCGGTCCTGAAGGCCGTCATCTCTGAGTCCACACCCCAAGGCGGCTCCGCACCCGCATACAAGTTCGCCTGCAACTCGACCATCGTCCAGCACCTCGTCCCGACATCCTCTCTCAACAAGTCCAAGGGCACATCGGTCAAGGAGGAGGAGCCCTCCGTCTCCACGAGCGCCGATGCGACCGCCACCGACGGCAAGCCCCACGTCGGCCGCCGCGGCATGCACTCCGCCACCGGCGCCTACTGGGACGAGAAGAAGGATGGCATGTGGTCATACAAGTACGATGGCGGCGAGGGCAAGGGCATGGACGTCGTGATCATGCTCATTTGGGTCGCCATCTAAGCGATGGTGGATGTTAGGCTCAGTGCTCGAGGACAGAAATAGTGGGAAGACACTCGAATCCAGCGTGCTGGGGTTTGCGTCGCCTCTTGTCCTCGTGTACTTCTCCAAAACGACACACGACATGGGTCCAATTCGCAAGAACCAGAGCCTCATGGAAACTGGGTCGGCGCATGGAAGACCCAGAAATGGGGCATAATGAAAGCGGCCTGGCGACCAGGATGCAGAGCATCATACCCTGGATGAGGAGGAAGTTCACTCTCTTGGGGTTGAGCCTCCCCAGGTCAAGCAGGCATATCCGGCGAATGGGTTTGCGCGACCTAGGTCTATTGATGTGTTCGAGTTGCTTTTGTCCCCAAACCACAAAAAATAGCCGGAGTTCTTTTTTTTTTCTGACGAGAATACATGCAATACCACAAAATTCGCGCCCCAGGCTTGTAACAAATGACAACGGCCTTGTTTATTTGTTTGTTGAGTCGTTGTTAGGTGGTACAGCACTGCATTGCACGACTCGAGGTAGCATCCTTGAAATTGGAGATGTCATAGTTATGCATCTCTTGGCTTTTGTCTAGAGTCTATAAGATCCGAGCCATGCCAATATCGCAGTTGAGACTATGATGTGTGGCAGGCTACTCGGGTACAGCTACCTACTAAATAAGAACACCAAACCCGTGGAACTTGACAGCCCGTGATTATGTCACGATAGCATTCAGTCAAAGAGGTCTATCGCCAATATGAATCGGTGACGCCTACTGCGACTTAAGCTATCATACGCCATCTACACATAGTCGATAAAGTTGGCCATGGAGCTGGAGCCCCGGATTCGTTCGATCACTAATAGTAGCTCGGACATACTGATCAGGCAACGTCTAGGCTCTCACCCACTAGAGAAAGAAAAAGCATCGGACCCTGTTCATCTCTTTTTTTGTCCAACGATGCATCTACCTACACTAGCATCCGAACCTGCTTGCTAATCGGGCACGTTGACGAACGAGCTTCAAATACTTTTCTCTCTTGACTTTTTCGCCCACTTTTCGGAGTGAGCGTTCCCAGTGTCTTTGGTGCCATGGCAAACACCGACAAGTCCAGGCCAGGCACCTTCCAAGGAAAAGCTTGTTGTCAGTGAAAAAGGTTGCAGAATGGAAAGAAGAAGAAAATGAAACAAAAAGTTTGAAGGTTACACAAGCACGCGAGTCGGGAATACCACTCGGAAATTGTTGGGATGGACAGGTCCTTTGAAAAGACGTTGTCGTACACCCTCTTCGGCAAGAACGAGCATGCGCCGGTAGCGGAGATGGTATTATATCACGAGGAAGTTGTCAGGGTTGGGTGTCAATGAAGTATCTGCTCCTGTCTCAATAGATAGGTGGGTACTTTGGAGATATATTCCTTGGTTGCATCACAGGAGCTTCCCGGCCGTGTAGCTGTGACTTGTCTTGACATACGCAAGTAGGGATGCGGCGTAGGTTTCAATTTCATCATTTCATGACGCGGTTTGGGGTTTCGCAGGAATACTCGCGGCTGCTGGAATCGGGAGGGAGCGGCCAAAGATCAGATCATGCCTGGCTGATAGCTCTGCAATGAGGTTTTTGGACTACGGCTCACAATGTAAGCCGGCTGCCCTGGCCTGATCGGTGAGCGCCGACGGCGGTAGCGGGCGCGGGAGGGGACCGTGGGGGACGGAAGATTTGTAGTAACGTAATTACAACATCGGATTCATGAGCAGGATGGTATCTCTGATTATTCCTAAATTTTGATTAGACAGACTAGCGATTTCTCTTCTCTTCTTGTGTTCCTTCTCAGTCTTGTTAGTCGTACTGTTTATCTTGGGACTTTCGACGGGAAGGGTGGCATTTTTACAAGTACATGTATACCGGTATGTATGTAAGGATAGATTACCTCTCTGAGTGAAATGTCATGCCTCGGGATACCCTTTCAAGACATTCCCCAGATGCTCGGTTTTCCCCAGTGGCCCATTGGAGAGAAGCCGGGGGAATCAGATACAGTGATCAGTGTGCATTGAGACGTGGAGACAATCAGGAGATGAACGGCCGGCCAGTACTGCGCACGCATGAAGTTACAAGTCCCTTTACGCTGCAATCATCAACCATTTCGCCACCGCTCTTTTGATCAACCCCACAAATCTTGGGGGACACCTGCGGGTGGTGCAGCAAATGCAGCAGCCATGACGACGTCGATCCCTGAGAGGGACGGGATGCCCTGCTTTTGGCTTCTCTTCCTCTCTCAATGGCGGTCTGGCTGAGTAGGATTGATGCAACAACGGTCGAGTCTAGAAAGACTTAAGAAGGCATATACCTACGGATACGGATGCACAGATAGAGATGGGCAGACGGGCGAGCTAGCATGGCAAGCAGGCGTGTGCTCAGAGTCCTGATCTGATACCTAGATCACAGACTACTGTACGAGTGCCGTGGGTTTGGCAGTGTAACAACAGCCTCACTCGGCCGATGCTAGGTTGGTCATGGGACCATTGATTCCCGGTGTGCAGGCTGCCGGTGTGTTGCAGCGGGAGCGATAGCCTTGCTGGCCATGTGAAGGGAGCTTCTTGGCGACTGTAGAAAGTTCATGATCCAAGTTTAGTTAACTTGGGAGATTCATCATTCTCGATTGATGGATACCTTTGGTCATGATAGTCTCGCATGGGTTAACGTGTGAACGAGGCATCAGCCAACGGGCTTATATCACTGATTCGGGACTGCGGAGGTCTCTTCATATAGGTAGCCTTACCCGTTTGGTTGGGCGGCCGCTGGTTGCAACTTTTCATAGCATACCTTTAGGTAGTTGGTCGGTTGCTATGTGTGCTCTCAACGTCTGGCCAATTCCAGAATCCTCGAGGACTGGAACACGGCCTATCAACGATTAGCGTCCTGCGCCAACCCTCGTGCCCTCTGCCCTCGTCGTTGTTCCCTTAGATGCTTCATGCTTGGAGGCTCTGGTTGGTCAATCAAGACCAAGACACGGAAGCGCCAAGCGGGGAGAAGCGAGGGGGTGACGGAGGGTCGTTGTCAGTTGTTTTGTCAGATTAATGAGTACCTACGGATTGGACGTAGGTAGAAGGTGAGGTGATTCGCAAACCTTTCTCGCTTTTCCGAGCTGCCGAGCGTTGTGTCTGTCGAAAGTGACGACGGTGGAACGTTCTACCTTAGATGCCTTCCTCCTTCAGTCAGTGGCTTCCTGTCTGCGGCACCCTGAACCACGCTACTCTTGCCTTATGACGAAAGTAGCCGGGCTCAGGTACCGGGTACTTTGGGGTTGCGCTTGCAAGAGACCGTTGTGTTCTGCGTTAGCAGGCAAAGACCCCTTTACGCCCTCCTCTTTCAGGCTTTCAGCTGGGGGTTGGCTTTCGGTCCGTTCAGTTGATCTCCAGTGTTTTCTGTTTGAAATCTGCGAGATATCCCAGATTACCTTTTAGTTTCTGTGGTTCTGAAAGAGTTGCTGGAAGCGAGATAGACGAGTTCCATGGCATTTTCATGATTCGCGCGAGGATGTCAATGACCGAAATTCCCCGTTTTTGTTTCTGCCATGTTCCCTCCCGGCACCAATAGGAAGTCATCAAGGACAATAAACGTACAGACGAAAGTGACCAAGGGACCAGCAACCCCTCCTTGCCCGGGAATACCTAGCGTTCCTACCTCCCATCCATCGCACTATCCGCTAGGTTATCAGGGGAGACACTGGCTCTGACTGGACAGAGAAAAGGCGCTGAGCCGGGAGAATCGTAGACAGCTGGGGGTGCGTGACTTGGCCACCATGGCGTATGGCTTTCCAATCCATGTAGTGTAGCGTACACTGTAGTGTATCCAGGACCCCCAAGTAAAGCAGCCCGCTAATCTGGCCTGCCATCGGCCGACATATCCTCCTCATTTGGAGCTTGTACCCGCGACTTAGTTGGCTCCGTCGGTCTAGACGTCGCGACGGCCAAACATCGCCTTTCTCGCCCGGTGCTGGCTCCATCACACCACTCACTTACCTTACGCACAGCACACACCCTCAGACCCTTTTTTCCCCTTCTTCCTTGTCTTCCCGTCTCTTCTCTTCCTCTTCAAAAGGAGAAGCACTTCGACTGATCTGCACTAGACACTACCGCATCGGGGTCCTGTCACTTCTTTTTCTTGCCGTTGACGTACCCTTATATATCTAACGAACTTCTCCCCTGGGCCCTTGACCAAAGACCCCATTCTCGCCTCATGAACTTGCTATTGAGGCATTCCCACTCGCAACAACGACTACCACCATCCAACATTGGCCCTCCCGACCACAATATTGCTATTACTTGAACACACTACTCACCCGACTCGCCAACCACAAGTGAGCCGTAGACTATTGATCCTCCCTCCTCTCAGCCTGAATACGACGAGACAACTACTACCCTCCTCCTCCTCGACATCGTTTCCCCTCACCATTGATAGGTGATCCTCAACCGCATCAACGGAAACGAAACCCCCTCTTCATCTCACGAGACACCAAGCTTTGAACTTGGTTGGCCGTCATTAACCCCGCTCACTTTCACACCACACACATCGTCGGATAATAGCCCAGCTCGGGCCACCGACGACAAAACTCCAAGGACAATACACCGCCGTTACACAAGGGCCCCCTTCTTCACGATGGTTGAAGTACTTCCCTCGGGCCTCGCCCAGAATGGTCAACCTCAGCAGTCTCAAGATTCTGCCGACCACGTCGCCTCCGTTGCCCGTCTCTTACTCGCAACCAATCTCGCCTCTCGTCAGGAAAACAAGATGATGACCCGTGAGGAACGTCAGGTTATGATCGATGAGCTTAGCAAGAAGCGCGCCGGCTGGCGCACTCCTCGTCGCGGCTGGTCCATCACCGACTCTCCCGTGGCATCAGCTCAGGGTAGCCCCGCGCCCCCAGCCGCGGCCTCTCCGTATCCCGCACCTCCCTCAACCCAGCATGAAGCTGTAGAGAGGCATGCCATTGCCTCTGTTCCAGAGCAATCTGAGCTTCCGATGCAGGATATGAGAAACGCTCCTCAACCGCCTCAGGTCCGCCGACCTCCGTTGCCGCCTCCTCGCCGTTCCTACTCAGTCATGGACTACGAGCCGC